GAGCGATGAGACAAAAACATTAAAACCCATTATAAGCGAGGCATTTGTTGCATCCAGTGGGGACATAATTACTGATTATAATGACTTATACTGTCTTTTTACATCGCGCCGCGTAAACATAAAACCATGTATGCATTTGTGATCGGAGAAATGACAAACAACAAGCCTACTCCACACTGCACTAAGTCGTGTCCTTCCAAAAGAGCCGGCGGCTTGAGTGAACGGAGGCCGGCGGCTAGAGTGAGCGGCGGCAGGCAGGCTTGAGAACGGCACAGCCGGTGGGCTTGTGGCAACCACATGTGACGACCTGTGCTGGACTCCGCTTCGTCCACGGTGAAAGCCAATCCAGCGATCCACAGCGCGAAGTTGATGTATTTCCTCAGCGACCAGCACGGATCAGCTCCAGGCATGACGAAGCGGATATCGTCCTCTTTTGGAAGGCCAAACAAAGTAGTTTCGCTTCCACAACGAAACACAGCGTCTTCACGACATGGCGGCAGCAACAACAATACTACAGCGAGAATCAAAGTTACGCCTTCTTTCTTTGCGTGAACATTTGGGCAGCGTTATGCAAATCTTCCCACATCGTGACGTAGACATGTGGGGGCGTGTTAGAACGAGACGTTTTAGGTAGGCGTGGTTGACTCTTAACTTTTATAAAGAATATCTCTTTGGATTTGAGACTTTAGTCTTTGCAACTTTACAGATCTTCTTTATGCACCAAGAGCTTGTAACACTCCAAAGAGAAAGGAACAATTTTAATCGCATCATATGACCCCTTTAAGATGCTATCAAATGTCTCTTTTTTATGTATATAAAACATATGTTCATTTTATGCTTTATCTTAAAGTACCTCTCTCCACTAGGTTGTCATTTATGAATTATAAAACCCACAGATAAAGAGTCCAGACAACTAACTCTCATAAAATGTGGATAAGTGATGGTTTCTCTCAATTTTGTTCTTCAGCCCACCACCCATTCTGATAACACGTGGTGTTTCAAATGCCATTAACTTTTTACATCTTTTTTACCTTTATAATAAATCCTAAAATAAGAGTGATTTCTCCAATTTTCTCATGTAATAATGCTCCTGTGACAGCTGTCATGTTGGAAGCCTTCAGTATCAGGGTGTATTAACGTTCTAATATTCTACCAGTCAGCTTGAGCAAATTAACCAAAGCCTTGAAGTGGTAGAGAAAAACTGGTGTATATTTACATGTAAACAGCAGATGGCAGTGAAGACTTACAAAGATGACAAGATCCACCTACTTAAAGCTCAACACTTCTCATATCTATTGCCTTGAGCAGAGACCTCTAACTAATGAATGTGTACTGACAGCTGTTTAGTCATGATTCTTCTTCTGATGTTATTACCATTGAATGCCTGTAGATAGGCATTAAGTATGTGCTATAGGTAAAATCGATCGACTGTAGATCAAGTTTAATAACTCTGACATAACTAACATTTGTCGGGATAAGTATGATATTATATATCATATTTATAGGCTATAACAAAATATTAATATGAACTGGAAAGCTATTAAACTGTTAAGTATTTCTTTACTCTGTTATACATTTTTTTCATGAATGTATGTTATTTTATAATGCTATGAACAAAAAAAAATCTACAGCAAACGCGGGCGACTCACCAAGGGTTTGTATATGTTTTATTTGGCGTTGTCCTGTCAATCAAACGGGAAGACGAATCGCTGCTCTGGATGGGCGGGGACATTTAAAAAACGCCCTACATCAATTCTAGCGACAGCGGCATTGCGCTCAATGGTTTGAGCACCTTGATCTTGTCTGCATAGTGCTGAAGGATAAGTGATGTTTTGCCAGTTATCACTTAAAAAGGCTAAAATTACGTAATAAACCTGATTAAACCATATGTTTACTAATTATAGATCTATAGATAACTATATGAAAGTGTACATAAGTACATTATTTGTCGTTATGGGCAACACCGAAGTTGTGAAATCGCTGGATGTAATGGGAGACAGTAATCAGAGTGGTGTAACCAACAGATCAATCAGTGATCGCGAACGCTTTAAAAGCCTGGAAGACATTGATGTGACCGCCGATGGGAGTCCGGTATTGAGATGCATGATCTCCATCACCTACTCTGTGGTTTGCGTCGTAGGTCTGATTGGGAACCTGTTGGTGTTCTTCTTTATTCGCGTGAGACAAGAGAGACGCATATCCAAAATAAACTTTTTTATCCTCAATTTGGCAGTAACGGATTTTCAGTTCGTGTTGACTTTGCCTTTCTGGGCCGTGGACATGGCGTTGGACTTCAGCTGGCCGTTTGGAGACGCCATGTGTAAGATCATCCTGTCGGTGACCGTGATGAACATGTACGCGAGCGTCTTCTTCCTGACCGCGATGAGCATCACACGGTACTGGTCAGTGGCTTCAGCTCTGAAGGACCGCAGAAGACAGACCAGCTGCTCCATCAGGTGGGTCAGTGTCGTCCTGTGGTCCCTGGCCACCGTAGCCACCGCGCCAACATCCATCTTCTCCACAGTCACTAACGTGGCCGGCGAAAAACTTTGTTTATTGCGGTTCCCCGACGGACAGTATTGGTTGGCAGTCTATCATCTCCAGAAAATACTAATCGCTTTTATTTTGCCCATGGCAATAGTCTCGATCAGTTACCTGCTGCTGTTGAGGCTCATCCGACAGCGGAGTATGAAGAACAACTCAAAACGAAGAACTCAAGTCACAAAGTCCGTCACCATCGTGGTCTTGTCGTTCTTCCTCTGCTGGATGCCCAATCATGCTATAACTTTTTGGGGCGTGCTGGTGAAATTCAACGCTGTGTACTGGGATAAGTCGTACTATATCGTTCATACCTATGTGTTTCCTGTGACTGTGTGCCTGGCGCACGCGAACAGCTGTTTAAACCCACTTATTTACTGTCTTATGCGTAGAGAGTTCAGGAAAAAACTGAAGGACCTGTTTCTCCGAGTCTGAGAAACAGGTGAATGTGCATGCGACTCTGTCCTGTGGAACAAACGCAAGTATTACATTTCCTTGTTTAAAGGGCTATTTTACCCAAAGTTTCAGTCATTTCACTCTCAGACATATTTACTCAACCTCCTGTTTTTCCAAGCCTGTATGACTTTATTTCCTCAGTGGAGCTTAAAATGGATGTTTTAGCCTAACGTATAGCCTTAGCAGTAGGCTATACGTTTGTTGCGATTGTATTGCGTGAATGTCTTTGTATTACAGTGCTGTTCTTGTGGAACATTATTTTCAAATAGCTTAATTGTCGATATTAAATGTCACCTTACGTTTGTGTTAAAAACCACCACCACTAAAAAATAAAATAAAAAATACGCTGCTAGTGACATAATAGGCTGAATTCGGGTAATCTGGGACACCTAAACTCCAGTGTGCTGTTAATTTCATTTCCCAAATTCCCAGTTAGTTTAGTATACAACGGTTGGGGGAGGAGGGGGAGCTGCGCCCAGGCCAGCTGACAATGTTCTGTACACAGACAAACGCACACCCTACACACACACACACACACACACACACACACACACGGAGTGTTTGTTCCCCGAGTAGCCCCAATTTGAATAGAATGGAGAACTTGAATAACTGACTGAATAATCTATTAATCAAATTGTTGCTTGCTGTTGCTTAAATTTTGGTTGATTCTTTAAAATGTTAATACAATGTTAAACAAATGTTAAACAATTTTAATAGTTTTAAATGAATTAAAATGAATTAACACAGTAGATTGTTCATCCTGTGTACAGAAAGAAATTATTTTTCCTGATATTGAAATATACATTTCCTTATTGAGATTTCTGTACTTGTCATTTTTTTCATAATGCTTTTTAAAAATTGGTGATATTGTGTTTGGCATGCATAAAGTATGGTGAATATAGGCTTTTTTTTAGGCCTAATACATATGTCCCAGATTACAAAGTGACCTGTCCCAGATTATCAAATTCAGGCAGATTTTTTTTTTTGGCACAAAAAAACACTAATAGGTGTGGCATGTCTCCTCTGGGTATAATATCAACATTCTATCTTCTGGTGTGGTTAGAAAACATCTTAGGGATTTCAGAAAAGTCTAATGTGTTGATCTAATGTGTTAGATAGATATCGAAATAAATCACAGAAGTCAAAATTGCAAAAAATGTCCCAGATTACCCGAATTCACCCTATTTGTTGTCCCACATTATCAAATATGATTGAGAATGTGGGACAGCATGCTTTGGGTAATCTGGGACAGTCTTCAAATGGAGGAAATATGTATTTAGGGACTTTATAAGTCTAATGACAAGGGATAATATATGCTATAATGAGAAATGGGTGTTAATGTGGGGTACTGGAGGTTATAACATTAGCATAAGTTCACAGTAGCTAGCAGCTAGCTAAACCAGCTAGCTAGAGAGATGCTACAGAGATGGAATCTGGGAAACGTATTCCAGTAGCAAGCAAAGGTGTCAGGATGAAGTAAACTGTTAATTTCATTTCCCAAATTCTCAGTTAGTTTAGTATACAACGGTTGGGGGAGGAGGGGGAGCTGCGCCCAGGCCAGCTGACAATGTTCTGTACACAGACAAACGCACACCCTACACACACACACACACACACACACACTCTGAGTGTTTGTTCCCCGAGTAGCCCCAATTTTAATAGAATGGAGAACTTGAATAACTGACTGAATAATCCATTAATCAAATTGTTGCTTGCTGTTGCTTAAATTTTAGTTGATTCTTTAAAATGTTAATACAATGTTAAACAATTTTAATAGTTTTAAATGAATTAAAATGAATTAACACAGTATATTGTTCTTCCTGTGTACAGAAAGAAATTATTTTTCCTGATATTGAAATATACATTTCCTTATTGAGATTTCTGTACTTGTCATTTTTTTCATAATGCTTTTTAAAAATTGGTGATATTGTGTTTGGCATGCATAAAGTATGGTGAATATAGGCTTTTTTTAGGCCTAATACTTATGTCCCAGATTACAAAGTGACTTGTCCCAGATTATCAAATTCAGGCAGATTTTTTTTTTTTTGGCACAAAAAACACTAATAGGTGTGGCATGTCTCCTCTGGGTATAATATCAACATTCTATCTTCTGGTGTGGTTAGAAAACATCTTAGGGATTTCAGAAAAGTCTAATGTGTTGATCTAATGTTTTAGATAGATATCGAAATAAATCGCAGAAGTCAAAATTGCAAAAAATGTCCCAGATTACCCGAATTCACCCTACCTTTTAGTGCATCATACTGTAACACTGACCGATCGTCATTCCTCTCCCAGGAAAATATTCAAATTAATACAGTATTGTGCACTTTAGATCTCAATTTAAGGGGTAATTGTGTATATCTTGTTGTTTTTGAATGTTAAATTAAAATCTATTTAAATTAAATTAAAACAAATCTGACTTTAATACACAGAGTATGTAAGAGACCAGTATCATCATTCTTTACTACAGCTGTTGGGTAACAAGTGAATATAATAAAACCACACTGACCTGAAAGGCTGAACTGAAACCTGAAAAGGGTATTTTGCATAAACGTCAAGCCTGGTCAAATGACAATATTTGTTGGCCAAAACTTTGGTTTGATATTGTAGAATAGAATAATGTATTTTACATTTAGCAGAAAAGCCTATAATAAGCTGTTTAATAGTAAGTTAGGCCTACATTTTGACAACCCACACTGTGTGGCAACATGCCCTGTTATTGGTCAATGAACAGTGAATTGGTTCTATGAACCGTTTTAGAACAGTATCCTACCATGAATAATATTAATCGTAGAAAAAATAGTGACACTAGCCCTAGTCTCCCCTCTGTAGCTGCATTATATTTTCATCACAGGCCATTTACAATTATTTAAAACATTTCAGAAAATACACATTCTCGGCAACATCAATTAATTTGATGTTTTTACACATCTAAATGACTTAATAAGGATGGATGACCATACCACCTTGTTGAGCAAAAGACAAAGTTACAGTTTCAGTCCAATTTGTCGATTCTCCTTTTCTTTCACTCACATGACAACACGCTCTCTCTGAATTTCCCTTTCACAGTGCTTCCCTATCAGCCTTGTCTCATTCTCAATTAGCATTACTGACAGACGCTCCCACAAGCTCCCCGCTAAGATACCACCTTCTATCCTGATCAGAGCTTTGTGAATCAAAGCATTCAGGAATATATCAAGCAAAAGCTATAGACAGAAATATGTTTCATTTAGGCGGGCAGGGCCATATCAGTGTCTTTGCACACATTTAAATGTGTTCTTGCATCCAGTGGAAACGACAGCTCTGCGGCATGCAGTTAATTACCCAGAAAGGGGAGATCAGGTTCATAACTGATGAGAATGCTTAACGTCTTGTTACATGGTGGCTTTAAATCACTTACACAGTAAGCTAATGATGGTCATTTGCAGGCAATTTGGAAGACTTGAAAAGACACATCTGCTGCTGTTTACCGTCACACTCACACAGGGGCCTTTTAATGGACATCCGGCACAGAAGTGATGCTCTTGATGACGTTCTGTTGATTATGGCACGTCACACTCCCGTGTTTAGTCTGTAGAGGTCAACGGACTGTGAGGAACAGTCTGGGCACCAGTCAATCTTTTTTTTTTGGACGCAAATATTTTCCTACCGAAGACCAAACCAAAAGTATACTTTAAAAACAAAGCAGTAGGCACAATTATGTCAGCTATAATTCGGATTCTCTCATTTTATATGTGCACTTTAATGTCATTTGAATACTATTTACATATAATAGAAACAAAACCAAGACATGTGTCTGCATCTGTCCTGTTTGTGTACACATTGTGAGTCTGTTCAAAGCAGCCCATTTGTTTTGACCAGTACCATTAGTGCTGCTGCTACTATAACAAACTTTCCATGTACTTTGCCTTTTTCATGAGCTGTGGTCACATACTGTGTGCAGAGGTACGGAGTTGACTACCTACCATTAATGTTAAACCACTCTTTGTTTCATCCAGGATTTGTCTAGAGTGCTGTGTGGATGCAAATTTACCGGTTTGCCTATTTATGTTTGTCAGTATTACAAAACTCACTTTGGCCTCCCACGGAGTGTGCTAATATAATCCGATCCCCCACTGTTAACAGGATTTCCAGTGGAGGCATGGTTTCCTATTACCCAGTGGGTTAGGAGTTATGATATACAAGTCACTTCCTAATGCACACCATCAAATCAATATATTCCCATTACAATCTAGATAAGAATTTCATCACATTGAAATTTAATATGTCCCTTTGGATGTGTATATTCCGCTCACAGCATGTCAGTATATTGCTCTCTGCCGCTGGATGTATTCAGTAATAATATAAGCCAAACAGTAGAAGTGAATGTACTGTATTATAGCATGTATTACAATTGACTTGCTTGTATTTTTGTATTTATTTTTTTTATTTCTGTTTATTTATTTATTTCTGTTGTAATTTCTTTTTATTACCATTATGATGGTTGTTGTTTATTTAATGAAAGGTGAAATCCATTTAATCATGTCTGTTTTGTTTTTATCTTTGTAGTGAGACGTCAAAGTCTGACAGTGACTCATAATACATTCTCTCAAAGTTTATAGAATTGTTTGAACAAGTTTTCAAAATCCAGTCATATTGTCTGTGTGACAATAACATCCATAGTGGTCTATGGAAATAACATCCATTAGGAAATTATTTCAAGCAAATACGAGACTAATTAAGCTTGGACTTTATTTGCACAGGCAAATGAAAGATGTGTTTGATGTTTTTTGAATGAACACACAATGGATCCTCTCTTACTGTCCAGTGATAAGGACTTCATGAGCTTTATTCAGGGTATATCAGTGTCTGTGTGTTGAATGAATTGAACCCATGACCTTGGTGATGATATAGTACCATCAGCCAGTTAAGCTACAGTTACTATGACCAGGATTCATATGTTGTGCTTGTTTTTAAGACTGTCTCAGACAAGAAAATCCTTTAGTGCTTCACTAAACCTTGTGAACTTGCCCTCTTCATTTCATTCCCATCCACTCTCCATTGAGAGATCTCTTGTATTGATCTTTCTTCAGATGTCAACACATTATTAAGTAGTGGAACTGTAGCACACTGAAAAAAAAAATGGTGTAGGATTTACTTTGAAACAATTTTCACTTAGAAATTGCTAGTAAATTTTACAAATAAAGACAGTTTTCTAAAGAAGGAAACACTAAATTAAACAGGACATTTTGAATTAGAAAGACTCAAATAGTATTTTTGTAAAACATACTCCAATAATATTTGTTGCATTTACAAATTCATTTTATAGTGCGTCTTGCTTGCATAACATAATACCCAAGAAACCCTAGATAACACGAGAAACTATTCAACATTAGAAACTATTAGCTGGCTACAGCTGTGAAATAATAGCATGACACTATACATCTCATCCTCCCCTTCTGTTTCTGCATGTGCCATCTCAAAAAGTCTGCATCCCCTTTCTGACACCTCAAGCTTAAACTTGACAAGAATTAATTATTCTTCCTTCCAGCTAAAAGCTACCCCAACAAATTTCTCACTAGCAGTTGAAGGTCGGACAGATGTTGCCTACAGGAGTGTGGAAACATTAGTGTCATCCTTGATGGCAAGTCATCATTTGTTAAAATCTAGCCATGTTTATTCATGGTCTACTCTAAAATTAGGGGAAATAATTATTTTTCTTGATCACTACTCAATCAAATGATTGAAAAGTGATTTGTATTGTACATTAATACCTAAATAACCATAACATGGTGAATGCTACAGTACATCAACATTCATTTTGACATTGTTTTATATAACTGTTTTTATCTGATTATTAGAGATTATATGAAAGAAATGGGTGTCAACAATCTTTCAGAGGCAGATTGCTAACATATGAACCTTAGGCTGATGATACACGGGACAACTTTCTGAACAATGTTGCCGCCAATGTGCAACCAGATGAGACACAGGGCCCATGACCGATCTAAAGTATCCAGATATACATTTGTTATCCATTCTCAATGTGAAAGTGCCCAAGCATCATTGCTCAAAAAAAGTTGCCCGGAAAAATTGCTCAAAAAGTTGCCCCGTCTAACATCAGCCTTAGTCATTAGCCATATTATTCTGTTAATATTGTTGTGACAGTGCTTTGTCCAGGAACCAAAATTTGGCAGTGAGAAAGTCATATTTCCTGCTAAATAACTGTATGAAGTTGACCTGAGGGCTTATACAAGGACAATCTGGCCTCTTCCTCTAAATCTTTCACTTCCTGGACAAAATCTATGGTAACCAAGCATAGAAAAAGTGATGCAACAGTGACAACGTATCAACCTCTCAATTTATATAAAAATATAAATGTATTCAGATTCCAAACAAAGAGAGATATACAATAGTGAAATACAAAATCAAGTGAATTTAATTAATTAGATTTGGCAAAATATACTTTTGTTGACGCAATATGCTCTATGTAGCCTAAATAATTTCTAACAAATTAATTTATTAAAATGCAAACATTTTCCTGCATAAATTGAGTTACACATATCATGTGGACTGACGTTTAAGTTGTGTTTTTTAATTGTAATCTGGCATTGCTCCTACAGCAGCTCAATCACCTCATTCACCAGTTCCATCAAGGGGCTTCTCGTTTCTTTTGTTCTTTTCAAGGCCAGAAGGGGGCAACACATCTCTTGAATGAATAGAATTATAATCAGTGATAAATATAATACAGTGAAAAAATCAGATATCTTCAAAAACGAAAGGTAGCCTATGCAAACACTTTTTTTTTTTTTTGGAATTGTAAAAAACTGTAGCGAAGATTGCCATTTATTGTTTCGTACCAGCTATTGATGCAAACTCAGCCTGTTTCAGACAAGACTCGTTTTGAGTTGAAAATATCATTAGCATTATAATAAATATTGGCGCTGTAAGCAGCATAATGAAATTCACTATTATACACAGGCTGTTATTTTTTTCTTTCCTGAACTGTATGGCTCCACCCAAAGCAATTCAGTATATCAAAAACATATTTTTCACACTCTCTCAATTGCCTCTGTGAGACAAAGTCCAGCCTTTTCCAGGTAAGGATGACGTCAGACGCACAACAGCATCTCCCGTTGTTCCCTGCTACAATTTCAAACGCTGCTAGGACCACGAGGAAGTCCCACCCCCTCTAACGCCTGATTGGCTTAAACGTAATTTATTCTACTATCCCTCACTGGCATTGGGCTACGGCGCTGTCGGTAAGGAAACGGGTCCAGATAAGCCTGCTAGTGCTTCGCGTCAGGTGAAACTCGCAGTGTGTTGACAGACGTTAAAAGTTGTTTTTGCGTAATCAAACTAAACCGTAACTGTTGTTGTAATTTATTCAAATTCTAACCGACACGCTACAGTTTAGTTATACAACCAAAGAGAAAACATGAAGAGTTTGAAGTATCGACTGAAAAAGCATGAAGTTACTATCACGGTAAGTTACGAGTTTAAAACAGATTTGCTTGTTTTGTTTTATGAGAACTAAATCCAAATTGCGCGAGTTTTGTTTCTTGGCGTAGTTGATTAACTTAATTTACCTTTCGGTGTGTTATTTCATCTACTATATTGTTGTTTTGTTCTCAAGAGGTTTACTCCGATCATCCAGCATTAATGCAAATCTTTTGACACTTCATCATGTCACATCCACTAACAGGCCGGGACACGGGCACTGGTCTTTGTGCCGCATGAATTCACGAATTTGCCCAACTTTGGGAAACTTTACTTAAACTTGCCTCTCGTTGCAGTTGAAAAATCATATGTTGCATCTATAAAGTCGAGACCAGGGATCACTTTCTATCCGATATCATATTGAGCTTCTGAAAATGAGTTAATGGTTTTCTTTTCCTCGAGTAGAACATGGAATCAAAAAACACAAACAGCCTTAATTCAGAAGCAGCTAGTCCTTGAGATCTTCACCCTCCCTTCTTTTTAATTTCCATGTCAAAGAGCCTGGTGGGAGGCTGCATGGGGGTTCGTTGTTGAAGTGCCTTTTTTTTTTAAGGGTTTAGCTTTGAATTGGCTTTAAAATGAAGAGATGATTCAGAGGAACCGATGTCATGGTCACGTGCTCTCTTACTCTATAAGCTCAGTTTTGACTTGATGCCTCTTTGACACATGGGAAAAAGCATTTCCACATGCTTTCAGAGCTGGACTATTGTCACTGGTTGCCCGCTGACTTAACAGAACACAAAGGACCATGGGAGCACACCCTCTCTTTTTGTGACATGTCTGTAGATTCTTTCAGTGGCCGGAAGAGTTCTCTGAGTTTCAGCAATCTATCAGTACATTCTCTCTCTCACACACACACACACACACACACACACACACACACACATTTTAGTCTTAATAATAATTGATTAAGTGTATTATAACCATATAAAACATTCTGGTTTCTGGAACGGCATTAAGATATCCATTAGTCTGAACTGGACAGTTGGTAGCTGAACATTAATTTATATCTGATATTTTAGTCCAAACAAAGGTAAGTTTGGGTCATATTAATATAGATATTATAATATCTGCATTAGATATTATAAGTAAATCCACTTCACCAACTAATTCCTCTTTAAC